GAATCCTTTCAAATTTCCATTACAAGCAGAGATTCCTCGCTTCCGGTGGGAAGCAACAAAGATCGTCATGCATTACGAACGCTAAATTGTGTAGAATTTAAGTTCATTTTGGGTGGTTTGCGTGAAGCCTCTAGCTTCTGTTAAATAGAGGGTACCCAAGGCGAAAATTTTGATGGTTCCCTCAAAATATTTTGATGGTTTATGTTGGTTTCAGTGAGAATCATGATGGCCCAACTTCATTTTTGATGGTTCCCTCAAAATATTTTGATGGTTTATGTTGGTTTCAGTGCGAATTATGATGGTCCAACTTCATTTGACTTCATTTTTGATGGTACCCTCAAAATATATTGATGGTTTATGTTGGTTTCAGTGCGAATCATGATGGTCCAACTTCATTTGACTTCATTTTTGATCCCTCCAAATATTTTGATGGTTTATGTTAGTTTCAGTGCGAATCATGATGGTCCAACTTCATTTGACTTCATTTTTGATGGTACCCTCAAAATATTTTGATGGTTTATGTTGGTTTCAGTGCGAATCATGATGGTCCAACTTCATTTGACTTCATTTTTGATGGTTCCCTCAAAATATTTTGATGGTTTATGCAGGTTTCAGTGCGAATCATGATGGTCCAACTTCATTTGACTATCACCATCATCCAACATTTTTCATCGTGCGTTCATGGTTTTTGATATACCAGCAAATTTCCATCATTCCATGATGGAAAATGTTTCTTTAATACTATGAATGGAAAACCATCACGAGAAGTTTGATTCTTATGGATAAACAATCCACGATGGTTTATACTATACATTTCCGTGATGGTTTAATGGAAATTCTTGCTGGTTCTCAGGAATATACCATCAAAAAAAAGTTAATTTATTTATTTATTTTTTAATGTTGGCACATCAAAAATCAGTCCGAATTCCTACATTGGGATAATAATGGAAAATTTGTATTTCATTATTTTTTTAAAAAGAAAATTTATTAAATAAGCAAAAAGAAAAAATATGCAATTTTAAAAAGAGAAATTTTTTAATACTAATACAGGGTGCGTAGCGTTTTTAAAAAGTGTTAAAAAGTGCTTGTTTTTGATTTACGTTTCTTAAAAACCCTTAAAGGTGCTTTTTTTTATTTGGAATTTGTAAGAAGTGCTTAATTTTCTATCTTTTAAAAAGGGATTCTTCCTTTCCCGTGTCGGTTGTCGCTCTAAACTACAAAAAAAAAATCATGATTTTCACAATTTTCTTACCAATATTTATCAGAAACTAGTTATTTTATCATCATCATGTAAGGTTTTTGAAAACGTTTTAGAATTTCATGATTATAAATTTAGAGCTTTAAACGATAGAAAAAAATAATTTTTATTTCTGCGCAGATCTTAATTATGAATTTTTTTTTTTTGAAAAGTGATTAAAAATAGTCTTCAGTGCTTAAAAGGTGCTTATTTTTTGTTGAAAAACTGGCTACGCACCCTTTATATATATTTCTAACGCGCAATCCTTTAAAACCTTTCCCACAACACTACGAATACTTTCAAAGCGTAGCATATATATGTATGCATTTTTAAAAATAAATATTCAAAATTGTGTCTATCCTAGACACCGGTAAACTTCGCATTCAAACTAATTCACTTCGAAGTAAAACTTTTAATTGAAATCACTACTTATTTTAACTGTGCATTGAAATCAACGTGATTACATTTTTTTTAAAATTCTTTTAACGAACGTTATTGTTTGTGAAATTTGTTGTATCCAGTACCTACGAAAGTGCTACTGTACACCATTTATCAAACTGAATTGCTATACCAAAACAGTAGTTGGTTTCCTTTAAAAATATTCATCAATTTTCAAGTGATGAACATAATTATAATCATCATCGTTTCAAACTATGCCCTTACGATAAAAGCCACCCGCGCTTCCACTGTCTCCTGATTCATTTTTTGATAACGAACTCACCCCCTAAATTATTATTTTCTCCATTACCTTAATTATTAAGTAAACAACAGTTTGACTAGGCTGTCATTATTGCTCGGTGTTGATTTTCTTTAAATCTATATCTCCCATTTTGACCTCGGACACCCCAGTGCTGAAGTCAGCTTCTATCTCTAATCGCCCATTTAATTAAGTGCTGCTAAGTGTGCCTTGGTAGTCGCCTCTTATTGGTTGATAAGTGGGTTGTTTATAGGAGAGATTTGCTTTGTAATACGTGCGTGATGACAGTAGTTATCTATATTAAGTAGTTATCTGCAATTTTTCTTATAACATTTAGTTCAGATAATTTTTCATAAATCTTATCATAAGAGAGAATTTAATTAATTTTGTGAAAACATTTTATGATTTCTTGAAATATGAAAGATATTGATTTCTTATGAGGTTAGGAGTTTTCGTTTTATTAGTTGTTGCAGTTTTTGTTCGAGAAAGTGAACTCTGATGAACTGGACTTTGATTCTTGTGGGAAATCGCCAATGTGTGTAAATAAATAAATGTTCTTTTATAGTATGTGCTAATATGTGAAGATAAACATGTTTGTTTTGATTTTTAATCATTGTTTTGGTTATTTTGTTAAATAGTGGAAAAGGTGAAAATATATTTCTTTTAAAAAATAGAGAAATAAGTTGTAATTTGAAAAATGCTGCGATTTTTTATTTGTTTGTCTGCTATGTCACAATCTTTCAGTCGTTTATTTTGTAATTGATATCTTAATAGCTTTTGGTGAGGAAAAAAAAATTCGTTTCTGTTATAGGAATAAAATTATCTTATTTTATCATCTAGGGGAGTTGTGTTTGTCTCAGTCTACGTTTCGTGTGGATGGAAAATGCACACAAATATGGCACTAACTATTTTTTGAACCAAAATTTAGTAAACAAACGTCAAAATATATATAATTTTTTATTTTAAAATGGCGCCAAAATTAGTCTTAAAAATATACACATTAGAAATTCGTAAAAACGTAGTACTTTCGAAATGTGCGGGCCTGGTAAAGCGCTTCTTTCTCATTCTGTCGGTCCTGAAAGATTCATGCAATTCATTCATTACATGCAGTGATGACAGAACAACCTGAATAAGGATGCCGAATAGTATAGTATATAGCAGTGATGGGCATCATTCACGAAAATTTTATTCATGACTAAATTTATTCAGAATACATTTATTCTGAATGATTATTCATATGAAAATTTAGTCATTATTCATCATTCATTATGCAAATGTATAAAAAATTTTGAATAATGATTGATGAATAACCTCATTAGTCATGACTAATTTTTTTGAATAAAATTTGGAATAACCAGCGAAAAATACAATCGTTATATCTTTGTCTATAACGAGATGCAAAACATCGTTTGCTCTTAAACGTCTTATTTTCGGAATTTAAATATGAAACTAAGACAAGTATGAATATTTATTTTCATGTTGTTTTAACTTACTCCAGCGTAACATACTTAGTTGTGCTAAAAAGTAGGTTTATAATAGTTTAGTTACATGAGTTTATTTTAAAATTTTGTTCTGAAATCTATAAAACACAATTTCTTACAGTTTTTGAAAGCAAACGATAATCTTATTTTAAATTTTTAAATAAAAAATTAAACGCTTTTTTGCCATGCAACCATTTCATAAAGTATGCATTATGTTAGACAAAAGAAAATTTCCTCAAACATTATATAAATATACTTGAAAAGGATTAACGTTTTATTTGTAGTTGTCACAATTGTAGTCAATTAGAGTATTCCGTGCCCATTTTTTTGACCAGTGAAATTATTCAGTTATTCTTGACTAATGAATAAAGGATACTGAATAAAGAATACTGAATGATTTATTCTTTATTCAAAATATTTCTGACTAATGAATAAATCTTTATTCATTATTCAGATTTTGAATAATTATTCATCATTCTTGATTCATTATTCTGAATGACAAATGCCCATCTCTGGTATATAGCCGAATAGTATAAGGATGCCAAAAATATACCATTGCTTGATAATCATTATAAGAATCTTAGAAATTAGCGAATGTTTCATTCAATTGTTCTTATCTATCATGAAATACTTATTCATGTTTTCAAGTATACGCATAGCTATCTTAAAGTTAATTTCAAAACTATTCAAATTTATATAAATATTCTTAAAATAAACGAATGCTATCTACAACTGAACTCCAATTAAGGGGGTCTCGCCGTAGACTAATCGTAAAGAGACAGTTCCCAGTAAAACATCGAAGTCAAACATCACTAGCAGCTCTCAATAAGTGGGTGGGTGACCACTTTGATCAGCTTGCGTAAGCACTGAGGATGCGTGGTATCGGTCCTCGTTAAACTGTTTTACGTTAAAATGCTCGACTTCGCGTGCAGGTCGTCGGACTACCGATGCGGGGAGCCATTTCTTCTGCATAGAAGCAAAATTGTGATGGCATGTCTTCGGATCATCCTCGAGGATGTTTCCCAGACCGTCGCTAATATCCCGCGATGGCTCAGGGGATAGAGTGTCCACTTTCCAATGAGGCAAACCGGGTTCGAATCCCAGTCGATACAAATTCCACATCTGGATTGCACCGACCACAGTGCTGACGTGAAATATCCTTAGTGGTAGACGGATCATGGGTTTAGACTCCCCTTGCCGTCAGGCTAACCATGGGAGGTTCTCATGGTCTTCCTCTCTATGCAAAGCAAATGCTGGTTAGCTCCATCAAAAAGTCCTCCACGAACACTAATTTCTCCCAATACTCGATCCAGGAGTTCCCTTGTCTTCTGAATTGGGTTCAAAATTAAAAGGCTACGGAGTTGAACATTAATTGTCGTAAACCCATAAAATTGGATCGGCTGTTCAACGACGGCTATATTATTAATATCCCATTGTACAGCTCTAGTGTGACGTTAATAAAGTATCTACCTACTTATTAAAGTGATATTATTCATATCTTTATGTACACATGTAGGTTAACTTTCAGTCAGTAGGTCACCATCAGTTATTTTTCCCCTCTAAAATTTTGTTTTTATTTTTTTAGTTGGCGGAGTACAAAGAACGGGAACTTTAAAAGGTGGCACCATGAAAAAAGTTCCACCACCAGTCGTTCCTGATCTCTCATACAGGAACTCAGGATCTAGTTTCTCAAGTGGATATGGCAGTCAAACGGTTGACAGAAATTCCTGTGGTAGCCTGAGCGCTGATGAACCCGCCTCGCCTCTCCTGAATTCTCCTAATTCTGGTAAGTCAGTCGATTATCGAATGAACCAATGGTTAAAGATTCGATGACTGTTTATTTATCTCTCTCTCTCTCTTTTAATGCAGATGCCTGTACATATGGAACATTGCCTTCACCATCTAAACTTTCCCATTTCTGCTTTCCCGATCTTCAAGTAAGTATACTTTTTTGGTTTGATTTTTAACGTCGAATTTCACTGTGAAGCGATAATATTGTTTAAATTTTCTGCAACCTTTATACATCGCCATGTTGAATAATATTATTGTGCAAATTAATCTAGATAACATGATACCATGGTTCATTTTGAACGGAAATACGGTTAGCTTTACATTTTATTAAATTGGCAGTTAATTTGCCCATTATGGTTCAAGATATCTGAGTTATGATTTGATATTGCACTACACAGATGAGTTAGTTGTTGGTGATTGGTAGACAATACTGGAGCATTAAACTACTTTAATCTAGAACAGAATAGCAGATGAAAGTAATAACTCAGTTTCTGCAATCAATAGAGGTGAAACAGATCGTTAAGTGGTAGAAATTTTTTTGGTACAAGCTCATGATAAAATTTTCCTATTAAGCAAATCTTAAAAATTTATATAGCTCAGTTTTTAAGCCCCAAAAATTTAATAGGTGACTATCGTGATTCGAAAATAGGCAATCTCAAATCATGCAGCTTATATTTCCCCAAAATTTGGCCCAATAAGAAGTTTTACCTTTTTCAGACTTATTTAAACTCGATCTCTGGTTGGCTCGGGCTTATGTTAAAAGACTTCATTCTCGGGAATAGTTCGGACCTCCACATATTAATCCATTAGTTCAAGTGCACCACATTTCTAGAGTGAGCCGCTATGGCTCAGGGGTTAAAGACGCTGAACTTTCAGTGTGTAAGACTGGGGTTCGATCCTCATTGACGCCTTGAAGCCCACTCAGCTTCAGAGTGATGGGTGCCAACTTATCTGAAGAATAAGGATGGGCCGTGCGCAATACAGACCACATTACTAGAATCATGCCTTCGGTCATGAAACTTTGAAGTCTAAACCTCCATGACGTCCAGGCCTACAACGGGCTAGGACGTTACATCAAGTAGATTTACAAGATTTGATTAACTTCTTAACCTATTCAGCATTGCATCCTCCTTTAGAAAATTAACTACTCGTGTTTTCACTTCCAAAAGCAGGCTCTAACTTTTTGAGCATCGTCTGTTTTTCGTCCTAAACTTACTGGACTGGGTACGTTTCGTAACGTTTTCACTCTAGTTTACAAGTCGAGAGAGATGTCCGCCGTTGTTCCTTGTCAGTGGACATACTCCGGTCGTAATAGTGAAATATATTTATTTACAAAATTTCAATAATTTCTTTTTTCTAATCAAAATATTGGTTGCAAAATCTCTACCCTTATACAGGGTTAAAAAGTGCTTAAAGGTGCTTATTTTTGATTCTTTAGGTGCGTTTTTAAATAGTGCTTAATTTTCCCTTTTCCAAAATGAGAGTTTTCCTTTACCATGTTGATTTTCGCCACGAATTATGCAAAAAGACACTGTTCACATTGTTTTATTCAACGTTTTCACAATTAATACAACCACAATCTATTTCGGCATACCATCGGTCCGTAGCGTATGAAAACGTTATTCGTTTTTCATAATTCACAATTTCATGATTTTTGACAATGCTGTATCAAAAGTCAAAAAACTATGCCAAAAGTTTTGTCAAAAACTATGCCAAAGTTGTTTCTTTTTTTATTATAATATTAAAGAACACATATTTTATATGCATTTCAGAGTCAGTACACTCAAGTCATCGTCCATCCTCAACCTGGAAGCCAGCCATCGACACCAGAAGGAAATCCAGGCCCACTGGGATCAGTTTCAGGTCAGTGATGCGTTTCCGACTCCTTGTTTTTACCGTTTAAAGAAGCCATGTTCATTCTGCTATATTTCTTTTACAAAAGGCGAAAACATGACTTTTGACTTAGTTCGAATAGATTTTATTTTTGTTGAAATTTGTATTGCAAATTGTTGCTTTGTTTCTCTGTAGTGTGTCATGCTATGTTAGAGGACCAAGGAATAGATGTGTGCCCCAGTCCTGGTGGCAGTAGTGCCAGTGGTACTTCCTCTCGTCACAGCATGTCCAGTGTCGACAGTGGTCGAGCATCAGGCTCTGATAAGGCATGTACCATTTTCTATAAAACAAAATAACCTTTTGGTCATCTTGTACCAGCCACAAGCAAAAGATTAAAATTTTCATAATTACAATACATACTTCTCCGAGGTAGCAATCGAAGGTATTTTTAGGTCTATTATCTCGATATTTTGAAGGAAAAAACGAACTATTAGTGAAATGAAATTTTTTAACACAACTTGTAATCTAACTCTCTTACTTTTGGAATGAAACATTTTCAACTAAATACAGAAAATGTCGAACTTAAGACATCTTATATTTTCAAACAGTATTTTATACAATTTAAATGTATATTAACTTAATAAAATAGTTTAAAATGCGGAGATATATTCAAGTAAAGAAATAAATACTTAAGTTATTCATATTCAATTTTGAAAATGATTTCATTTTGATCTATATTTTGGTTGAATTGCTGTCAAAATATTTATTCTAGCATGGGCGATTCTGCTTAATTATTTATCCTAACAATTTAAAACAAATTATTGAAAACCGGATAAGAAAATGTTACACCAACATTAAAATTTTTTTATCTGACCATAATTTCAAAAAGTTACTTTTTAAAACGATTAAACATACAATTTAAAACTTGAAACACTAAAATATTGAGAAAAAAATTCAGGCCTTAAATTAAATCATCTTTATTCAATGCCACGCTTGTATTAGAGAATAAGTTTTCTAAATATTTATAAACAAATAAACATAATTTATAAAAATTAAACTACATAAGTTATTAAGGTTTCATTAGTTGGGAAAGCTAAATTTAAGTTGCAAAAGTTAAATATAATTTATGAAACTTCAAATTAAATTATAGAAGTTAAGCATAAGTTACTAAAGACCTTAGTTATCAAAGCTCAAGAACATAAATTATAAAAGTTAATCAACACAAGTAATAAAAGCAAATACTGAGGCTAAAAAATTCGAAGCGAAAGTTATAAAAATCCTATGAGAATTTTAGAGTGCAACTTAACACACCATTCTTCAATATTACTTTTACTTCAGAATATTTAAGGAACCGCCATATATAAATTTTCAAAACTAAGATTTAAATAAACAGCACACATTCATGCCTGCATTCCATCTTCAGGTTGTGTCTCAGAAATCTCATAACAAGCATATCTTAATCGAGACCACCCAACATCGTCACAGTTATCATAGTTCCACATCCAGTGTTTCCAGCGACGATCTTCAAATCATCGGAAATAACGTAGCGGAAATGATTCTGCACGGGTTACCGGTAAGTGCATGCTTGTTGCTCTGTTCATCCTTTATTGGTGTCATATTTCAAAAAGAAGTAAAAATTTTCAATTTCACACGCTGGTGTCTAAAATACGTATTTTTATGGAGGTTATTTATTTCCTGTACTATTTTATATGCAATATGCGATCCTTGTAAGGTGAGCTTTATAAAATGTGTTTAGTTTTATCATGAATAATAGCGTGCGGAATTTCTTTTTTGTTGTACTCAATAATTTTATGTATTTTGTAAATCTGGTAATAAAATTTTCACGAGAAAAAAGGCTTTTTTTTATAATTTTATATCCTGGATTTTTCGCAATGAATATTTTAACTCCCTATTTTAAATATTTTATTGAAGGGATAATATTTTCTTCGTTCGTTCTACGTTATTTTGATTTAATCTATCCTTTAGAAACTTATATCTGTAAGGTAATTTTTTTCCACAATATGTATTTCATAAGCTCTTTATTTATATTAAAAACTGTATTAATTAATATTTTGACAGTGTATTTAGCTTATGAATATTCTTATTTTTTCTCGTGTAAGTAATTAAATATTTTAAAAAGGTATTTTAATCCATGTATTCAAATTAGGCGAAAAACCAATACTCGATAAATAATAACCTTTATTTTATTTATTTTTTGTTTTATATGTGATGTGAAAAACCTTTAATCACCGTTCTTGAGCCGCGATGGCGCAGGGGATAAAGCGTTCGCATTCCAATGAGGTGAACCGGGTTCGAATCCCAGCAATGACTGGTCGATACGAATTCCACATCAGACTACAGTGCAGACGGGAAATATCCTCAGTGGTAGACGGATCATGAATCAGAGCCGTCAGGCTCACCGTGGGAGGTTCTCGTGGTCTTCCTCTCCATGTAACACAAATATGCGGGTTAGTTCCATCCGCGAAGGCAAAATTCTTGCAATACTTGATCTAGGAGTTCCCTTATCTTCTGAGTTGGGTTCAAAATCACAAGGCTACGGAGTTCAGCAGTAGTCGTAAACCCAAAATTGGGCGGCTGTTCAACGACATTTAAAAAATAAAATAATCTCCGTTCTTAGCTTTATTTATCAATTAGTATATCAATTGTTAATAGCTTTTGCTTACAGTTAGATTAAATATGAGACGTTTTAGTAAACAGTTACATTTAATCAGTTACTGTATTGAAATAACCATAAATAAATCTAAAAATCGATGGAAAAAAACCATTATAAAAGATTAATATAAAAAATAATAGAAATATAAATATAAAAATTAATAAGAAATAAATATAAGAAATAATATTGAATAAATATGAAAAATAATAAGAATTTAACATAAAAACGAATGAATAGTTTCATAAAGTGAAACAAAATCAAACTTTACTTAGAAACTTTAAAATATTGACGTAATAAAAAAAATCTATAAAATGTACAGGAATAAGGATGCACAGTTTTATTAAAATAATCTGAAAATAAACAAGAAAAAATATGCACTATTTCATCAATGTAAATCTAAATCAAATTTAATTGTGAAACTTAAAAAAAAGTAAATTTTTCTGCTTAAAAGAATTTATTACTTTTAAGTGCATTTTCAATGCAGCTCATTCTTTCAATTTCTTTTTACTGAAAAGGTGTTCTTAAATACTCATTAATCATTACCCAGTTAATCGATACCGATTATATCGGTATCGAAACACGGAACTCTTTAAAAGGCACTTATCGACGCTGTCTGTCAGCTGAAAAAGTTTTTTTCTTTTTCTGTCCTTCGCCAGAAGTTATCTTTTTATTTACTTTAGAGTAAAACCAGTGTACTGACACAGCGTTTGCATGATTTGCTTTATGAAATTTACCGCTGTGTAAACTATTTCACTTGTTTACCCTTTCATGAAATGCTTACGTGCCGAAACACACGCTCCTATTTCATTCAAGTGATGTGAAATTTTCGGATATTTAATTTTTACTGTCCATTTGACCGCGTCGCACATTGCGATGGAAGAGTCGGACACTTGAAACACTTGTCGAACTCTTGTAGACGCCGACGGGCTGGTTTCAGGTACTTGAGGAAATCACTTTGTGTGGTTTATGTTTTTAATTACGCTATGTAAAACTCTTAACTTGAAAAAAGAAGCTCAGTCTAAATTTTTTTTTAAAGTTTAGTTTGTTTCTAAATCTTATAATCGAGTTTTTTACTGTTTTGGATCATATCATCCACTTCCGTGACGTAATCTTTGATTCTAGTTTGTCAATAAATTTTATGATTAAGCTTGGATCATATTGCCCACTTCCTTGGCACAATCATTTATTCTAGTTTGTTAGTAAATTTTATAATTAAGTTTGGATAATATTGCCCACTTCCTTGGCACAATCATTTATTCTAGTTTGTTGGTAAATTTTATGATTAAGTTTTTTACTGGTTTGATCATATCATCCACTTTCCTGAAACGATCATTGATTCTAGTTTGTTAGCAAATTTTATGATTGATTCTCTGATCTTTTTTGGGAGGTTTTCGGAGTTTTTTCAGAGTTTATTGGGGTTTTTTTCATCATTTTTTTTATTTTTCACAAAATAAATCTTAATAAATATCATAATAAATTTTATATAAATGTGTTAATTTAATTACACTTAAAAAAATCATTTTAAACTAGATATGATGAAGCTCACAGGTTTGGTAAAATAGTATAATTTTCTATTCGGTTAATTACGATTTTAAAAATAAAATTTATTATATCTTGTTAGAATAAAACTTTCAATTATGTTATGAATTATGTCTCAAATTTTTGTGAGAATGCCCTCATACATTATTTGCTATTTCTAATTGTGCGTATTTTTAAAAAGATTAATTTAAAATTTTAAAGCACAGTGGAATTAAGAAGTAGTAAAAAATAAAAAAATTTCGATGTATAAAATTTGTATTTTATTCAATTATAAACTTAATATCTAAAGCTGTTTCTTAATGATACTATGCAATTGAGAAAAATCCCGCTCGGTTTTCAGGTAAGCTCCATCCTAGTTTTTTAAGGGTTGGTTAAAATCAACAATCGAGAACACAAGTAATTTTATTTTTTGATGTTGTTATGAAAGAGAAAAAGAAGAAAAAATTACGTCGATTTAGTTATTTAATATACTTCTGTCCCTCAAAATACAGTTGAGCATTTCCCTTTCTTGAAAAAATTTTTTTTTTAAATAAATCGTTTTCAAAAAGTAAAAATAATAATCATGTAATTACTTATGTCATTCATCATAATTAAATTAATCTTGTTCAATAAAAAAATTTACTTATATTTAATTTGTTTCAACATATTTTTTTGACTCAAATGAACTTGAATCCAAAACTTTTGTCACAAAAATTTTTTTTCTTCCTCTGAACGACCCACACTTAAACAATTACAATTTCGAAGCCGCCAAAAAACTTCATAAAAGAGATACAGCAAACGAAACAATTCGCGTGCCCAAGTAAAAGAATGAAGAAGTGCTAAGAAGATTTTTACTTTCAAGAGAGAAAAGTGAGATACTGGCCCAGAACAGCTCTAAAAAGAACAAACAGCACAACAAAAACTGTTATCTGAATGGTTCCGGAACCATGCCAAAGCACGCACTGCCAGCAATATATGGAACAGTTTTCTGAGCACTATCTACAGTTTTGCAGACAAACAAAAGGAGTAAAAATAGTAGAAAATGATGAAGAGGTAACGTGAAAGTGTTTCCCCGAAACAAAGAAATGGTTTTTATGAGGTCTTTTCATAGAAACTATGAAAAGTTTTGATGGATCGTTTCAAACTTCAAAAAGTCTGTTTATTTGTTTTTTTTTTATTTATATTAAAACGTGGATTTCTCTCGGATCTTGAGACTAGAACGTGTGAATATTCGACAGTTACAGGACTTAGGGAAGAATAGATTGTTTTGGTTTTTTGTGTTTTGTCAGACATATTTTCCACAGTAAAAGTCCATTCCTGTTTTCGGTATAGGGAATAGAGATGAGTTCCTTCTCACATTAGACGTTCTAGCCAAAGATTGATATTTTTTTATGTCCAAAATCGATATCTTTTCCATTTCTTTGAAGATCGAAGTATTGCTTTTTTTTTTCATGCCTAAGACAGTTTTTAAGTTTTCTAATCCCAAGGTCGAGTTTTTGTTTTTTAAAACCCCTAGATCGATATTTTTTAAAGTCGAATTCCTATACGGTTTTGATTTTTTTTTTTTTTTTTTTTTTTTTTTTTTTTTTGAACCCATGGTTGGTATTTTTAATCTTAAGCCAACTTGATTTAATGTCAAATAAAGCCTTAAATTTTAAAAAGATATTTGGCTGGACCTATTTTCAAATCACATCTTATACTTCAAAATTATTTTCTTCTGAATAATTTCTACATTATTTGGGCAGAACAAATCATACTTGATAAATGAATGAAACACATTCATTTGCAAGTATTCTCTTTCAATTGAAAAGACTTATAAAAAAAAGTATTCTCTTTCAAAATGAAAGTATCATTATTTGCGATAATGTATTTTCAAATAATATTTAATGTTATTTTTAATTGTTATGCTAAAAAAAATTTTTTTGACACCACCAATATGTCCCACTTCTAAATTTCATTTTATAGGAAATGTTTTTATGCGTACTAAACGAAACAAATGAGAGTAGTACTGCCTAAACAAGTTCATCATAAATATCCATTATTCATCTTCATCATAAAGCTTATATTGAAAAAAAATTCTTTACGATATAAAGAATAGTCTTGTGATTTAGTCTTAAATGGTTTTCATCGCAGTTTGAAGTAAATGCAATACGAGTTGATTTCACTCAAAAAGACGAATTAGTCTTGATTTCACTCAAAAAGACGAATTAATCTTCATTGCACTCAAAAAGACGAATTAGTTTTGATTTCACTCAAAAAGACTAATTAGTTTTGATTTCACTCAAAAAGACGAATTAGTTTTGATTTCACTCAAAAAGACGAATTAGTCTTGATTGCACTCAAAAAGACGAATTAGTCTTGTTAGCCGAGTTCGTATGAAG